AGAGAGCATTTGCTTGAGAATGTGTTTGCTGATCAGTTTCCCATTGACTTCCATGTAAATTTCAACTTGGTGTCTGGTTTTGAATATTTTATGGAATGTCTTGCTTTTCTATGAGTTCTCTCCTCCAGGTAGCCTTTTCTCAACTGTTGTTCTCTTGACCTGAGGAGACATCAGAGTATCCCTCAATTTCCTTCTGGTTACTTGGTGGCAGAAATTTGTTACAACATTCAGCTGGGGCTGACCTCCAACTTGGTTCACTTTAACAGAGCATCTAGAGGGATAAAGCCTGGGTTTGGGAGAGATGAAGGTAGGGCAAAGCAAGGTCAGGGTATTTTTTGGAAATAGATAGGTGAAAGCACTTGTACTAAGAATATTCTTCTAATCACCTCCTATTCATCCCATTGATGAAGGAGGGACCCCCACCTCCCTAATTAATATGAGATGGTCAAACACATGACACTGGACACATGAGATTCACAGCACTTTATTAGTCGCATATGCTCACAGTCCAGGATAGGACACCTCATGCCGTGCAGGGCCACACCAGGGGGTGCACTTGGAAGCAGAGTGAACAGCAGGGGCTGTGGGAGGCAGGCTTTGCACTGACCCAAGGGTTAGGTGACCCTTGGGTCTCATGGAAGGATGTGATTGACTTGTTTGATAAATTTATGAGCTGATAGGAAGGGGGGGAAGTTAGATTGAAGATAAGGTGGGATGGAGCTGATCTGGTTGATAGGGGAACTAGTCTGGGAGGGAGCCTTTCTTGCTAGGTGGGGTCACACCTGGCAAGAGTAGAACTCACAATTAGGCCTTGAGACACCTTGCAGTTCAAAGATGTCAAGGCAGCACATGAAATTTTAGTCCTTACAATTTAATACTCATGATTAAAAATTTAGTGGGGGGAGGAGGGAGGAGCAAGTAGTACTTTGGCCGGCTGCTGAGGGAGGTACTGTTGGTCTAGAGTTAGAGCCATGCAGATCTATAAAGATGAGGTCCAGCTGGCTGTCCATAGGAATAGCAATGAATATCAGAGTTTTACCATATATGATGGGATGAGTCCAGGGGCCACAGAACAGGTGTCTGGATTGTCAGAGGCAGGAGAGTGTAGTGGCTAAGGGAC